TGACACCCCTCCCCACAAGGGGTTCTGAGTTCCAACCAGACATTTAGGATGCAAAAAGAAAACGAAACCAGCAAGGCGTAGACTTGGAAGTGGGCAGGTCAGATTCATACCTGCAGTCACACTATTCAGTCCAGCAAATCCACCCAGCCTCGAGGGGAGGAGCAGGGGAAGAGCAAAGCGCCGAGTCTGTGAGGAGCCATTGTCACAATGTAGAGGAGTGACCTTCAGCGACAGAGAGCGCTCACTCACCTGGCTATCCCGGGCTGGTTCCCACACATGTGGGCAGCTTGCTATACCACGTGCATCCCTGCCTGGCTTAGTTTCTAGTCCCGCTATTCTCTGTCATACTTGTCATACTTAAGAGCTTGTGTCCATTGTGTATGAGAATATAGTGGCATGTGTATTCTTCTGTCCACACTTTGCAGGAAAAATGTACTCAAGACAGTTACTAAAGGCAAATAATACCTCGCTGATGGCCCAGTGGAAGTAGTGCAGGCTTCAAGTCAGCAATGATACTTCTAGAAGCTTCCACAGTGACCTCCAGGCACCGTTAACTGTTATAGTCCTTAGCACTTCTATTTTTATTTTTATTTTTTAATTTTTATTTTGAGAGAGAGAAAGAGGGAGGTAGGGGGCAGGGGGGAGAGCAGAGGGAGAGAATGTTAAGCAGGCTCCATCCACACCCATCATGGAGCCCGACGTGGGGCTCACTCTCATGAACTGTGAGATCATAACGTCAGCCAAAATCCAGAGTCAGACGCTGAATCAACTGAGTCACCCAGGTGTTCCCTTAGCACTTCCAATACCACCTCCTATGCTTGTGATAATTGTTCCTAATTTGTTTTCTTAACTAGATTGTGATGCCCCTGAAGGCAGGGAATGTGCTTTATGCATCTTTTTCTAACTCAGTGCCTGGTACTTATTATACAGTCAATAAACCTGGAAGAAATAGTCTCTTGCTTGTTTGGTGCCATGAAGAAGCTGTGGACCACAGATCTGGTAGGTTTAGGGATCTTCTGCCGTACGGAGCAGCAGGTCAGACTGCCAAAGAGGAGTTTTCAATTTCCCTCCCGCGGCACCCCATTATCAGGATTTAAAGGAAGCCCAGTGATTCTGGGTGCTCTTGTCTTGCCATCACTCCCCTCCACTGTAATACTTCAGCTCAATGCTTACTAACTCCCCAGGAGAGCGGATCCAAGAGGAAGGCCATGGTTAGACCAGAGCCCCTCTTCCCCTGAGTGAGCTTAGGAACCAGCCCACCTCCCTGGACAGCTCAGCCACCACCAGAAATCCCAACCCCCCAGTCCCCCATCATCACCTGAGCTTAGTCCAACATCTGACTCTATAGGACTCCTAATCTGTTCCAGTTCATGTCCCTGCACAAACACACGTCTTTACTGTGGTTCCTACGTACAGTCATCGGCAACATTACCCATAACCCTCAGCCTCTTAGCTGTTGGAGAGTAACACGCAACCTTCTCGACTGGTCTTACTTTCAACTTGTGACTGGCTATAAATCTCAAATATGTCCTCAGGACTTCCTGGTGACTCTACTAAATTTCCATAACCTATTTACTCTCTTGCCTCACAGGTGAATATTGCACATCTTCTTTTGCTCCTCCAACCAACAATCATTTCTTATTCCTTTCTCGCTCATAGCTGATGATCTTGCTTCTTATTTTGTCGAGGGCATAAACATACACCAAAGAGGGGATTACCTTTCCCCCTCCGTATGTGCTTGCCTCTGTGCTTATAGACCCCGGCTTCACCCTCACTTCCCGACCCTCACTTGGGCACTGAACCCCACCTCCTCCCTTGCCTATACCATAATTCCATCACAATGGTATCCTATCTCCCACCTTTGGGAATTCTCTCTAGATCCTTCCAGCTATACTCTCTTTCTCTGCCCCACTGTCTAGGAAAACCTTTCCCAGGAGTTGTGTCTTTTCACTGCTCCCACTTCTCCATCTCTCATTCTCTCTAGAAAGCACACAGGCAGGCTTTTCTCTCCATCACTCCACCGAGACTATTATTCTCAGAGGACCTCATCATATCACCAAGGACCTCCACATGGCCAAGTCCAATGTGGAGTCCCAGCCCTCCTCTGCCTTGGCCGAGCAGTCGCCCGTGACACAGCTGAATGTTCTTGTGAGGCAAGAGAGTAAATAGATTATGAATACTCTTGCCTTCTTGAAACATTTCCATTTGGCTTTGGGATCAACGCGGTCTCTTGGTTTTCCTCCCTCTTCCCTGCCACTCTCTTCCAACTTCTTCTGCTAATTGGTTCTCCTCTCTCTGGCCCTCAAGTACAGGAATGCCCCAAGACTCAGTCCTTACCTCTCTTTTCTCTGTATTATGTTCTCCTTTGTAGACCCTTTCACTTCCATGGCTTTAAATATATGGATGTGTTCCCGGTGTATATGGTAGCCCAGCTCCAAATTCATGTATCTAACTGCCACTCGGCATTTCTACTTAGATGTCAAATAGATATGTGACTATATGGCATGGCTACATGGCTACACAAAATAAACACTTATACTTCACGCCCCTCCCAGCCCCTTACAATCCAGTCATTCTCTGGTTTTCCTAGAGTAAAATGCGCTGTTTACCCTGGTGCTTAGGCCCCAGACCCGGAAGTTATCTTTAATTCCTCTCTTTTTTCTCATACCCTATGTCCAACCTTGTCAGCTCCACATTTGGAATAAGTACCGATGTGATCACTTCCCACCACCTCCACCTGTTTCACCCAAGTGCAAGACATCTCGGTCTTTCCACCCTTGGCTTCTCTAACGGCCTCCCAACCGGGGTCCCTGCTTCCACCGTCGTCCCCCCAAACAGCCCACTCTCCAACCAGAAACCCAAATGATCCTTTAAAAATATAAAACCAGCCACATCCCTGCTAAAACCTGTCCAATCGGATGGCTTCCCATCACAATTAGAATAATATGCAAATTCTACTTGGGCCTAAAAGACCCACATGACCTTGTCTATTTCCACAACCTGTTTCTGGACTTGTCTGCCCACTCATTCTCTGTAGTTCAGCCAGGCGGTGGTCTTTGCTTTGCCTTGAACAGGTCAGGCTCTTTCCCATCTCTGTACTCGCTGTTCCTCTGCCCAAAAGGTCCTTCCAGACTTTGTAAAGTTTGCTCCTCACTTCAGTTAGGTCTCTGCTTAAATATCACCTCTTCAGAGAGGACTCGTCTGACCACCCACCCCGTTGTCCTACAAATCTCTATCCTCTGATCCTGCTTAGTTTTTTATAGTGTTTAGCAACCCGTGACTTCTTAATATATATTTATTTGTCTATCTCCCCCAGAAGAATGCAAACATTTTACTGGCAAGGAGTCTGCTGCCTTGCTCAAACTATGTCTAGAACAAGTGCTCGGTATACACTTGATAAGTACATGGATGCATGAAAAAATACGCAAACTTCAGAAGGAAGTAAGAGATGGGATGCAGAAAGATAGGGAAGCAGGGGCTCAGGTAGAGTGCTATTGAAATAAATTCAAAGCTGTGATGTACTTCTAGGAGCAGAGTCAGCAACAATGATGGGTCGGCACAATGGAAAGACAGCTAGTGAACTCAGAAGGGCCTCTCAAGCAGCCCTGTCGGATAGAAATTTCTGCAGCGATGAAAATGTTCTATATCTTTGCGGTTCCCAAACAGTAGCCACTGGCCAGATGTGGCTACTGAGCGCTTGAACTTTGGCTAGTGAGATTGAGGAACTGAATATTAATTTTCTTTAACTTGCATTAAATAGCCACATGTGACCGGTGGCTATGGTACTAGAGAAGCTCCAGAACCTTCCCCACACTTGTGATTTCAGAATAATAATGCAAACCTCACTGAGTTGTTGAGGGGATGCATGAAATAAAAAGCCTGGACCAATGAAACCAAGTTGGCCCCCAAAACTAATAGCTGTTATTACACGTAGTTGCAAAGTAAAGTACTTTAAATACATGCGACTTAAATTTGGCTCCAAGGTGCCAGAAACAAACTTTTATTAACTTTTACCATATTTTTTTTTTGTTTGTTACAGTTAGTGGATAACCAATGTGCGGGTCTATACTTGAGCTCCCAAACTAAAAATAGCCAACAACCATTTTGGGATCTCACGAAGGCCTTTCGGGGATAGATGACTATTCCAAGTGGATCAGCTTGCTGATACTTACGATGAGCTAATTAGTTTTGACAACAGCTAATTTAGCATTTGCAAAAATTGGATTTGTAACATTACTGCATTATTTTCAAACAGTGTCATCTGCAGCTTCCAGAACGCTCTTGGATAAGAGGACTGTTTGTTTTGCTACTTACTATTAAAATACAGGGGAAAGTATTTACTTATAGGAAACATGATGTTGAATTCTTTAAAGCTTAAATTCTTTTGGACATAAAATCATCTTTTTTTCCTTGTCAGGGGCTCACCACACTTTCTTCCATACCGAATCCAGAAAATAAAATGAACACAGATATAGAACTAAGCAGACCATTATGACTAACCCTTAGGAATAATCTAATCTAATAATAAAATTACACATTTGTTCAGAATAAGTACAGTGCTTATTTTTAGGCCAAGAGAATTTGCAGTTCAGAGCGGCAGAGGTGAAAGTGGAATCCCACAGCCCTGCCTAAGAGTGTGGTGGAGACTCTGAGACTCCAAAGAAGAGAAGATCTGTTTAAATTAAACACATGCTTACAGGCATTAAGAAAAGCTGACGTTCTTATTAAGGAGACCAATTAATCTGCATCTGTTGGAAGCAGCTTTACAGTAGTTGAAAAGGTGCCCAAGGACATACCGTAAATGAGACTGGAGAAGAAAGGAAACTGAAATTTACTTTTCTACCGGGGAGCATTTCCTACCTGCTCCCCTCCCCACCCCCACCTCTGGCTTTGCTGTTTGAAATGCAGATCCTTTTTCTGCCACCCCTGACCTTGAGTCTAGCAGAAGAGGAAGGGGATGAGGAACCCTAAATACAAAGATGGGGCGTTTGAAGACTTACCAATGGGCATCACTAGGAAAAAAGGCAGCCAGCAGAGGACGAAGCAGCCGACCACGATGCCCAGTGTTTTGGCCGCTTTCTTCTCCCGGGAAAATTTGAGGAGCCTCACGGAGAAGTGCGTCTTGTTCTTGGCGCTGGACACCCCGCTGCCTCCTACCGGGGCGTTTTTCCGATGGATGCGGAGCGTCACCTGCTCCGAGTCCGACTTGTCAGTCTTGAGGCCGGACTTGAGGCCCCGGCTTTCCCTCTTGGCCACCACGTAGACCCGGCAGTACATGACCAGGATGATGGTCAGTGGCACGTAGAAGGAGCCCAGGGCCGAGAAGAGCACGTAGCCCGGCTCCTCGGTGATCTGGCAGATGGTCTCGTCTTCAGGGGCCGGCTGCCTCCAGCCAAACAGAGGCCCGATGGAGATGACGAGGGAGAGCGCCCAGACACAGAGCAGGGCCATGAGACCCCTCTTCTGGGTGACGATGGTGGGGTAGCGCAGCGGGTAGCTCACACCGATGTAGCGGTCGATGGAGATGATGCAGAGTCCCATGATGGACGCGGTGCAGCACAGGACGTCCACCGCCGCCCAGATATTGCAGAAAACCCTGCCAAAGGCCCAGTAGCCCAGGATCTCAAAGATGGCAGAGAAGGGCAGCACCGTGGAGGTGAGGAGGAGGTCGGCCACCGCCAGGTTGACGATGTAGTAGTGAGTGACCGAGTGCAGATGCCGGTGGCAGGCCACGGAGAGGATCACTAGGATGTTGCCCAGCACACCGAAAATGATGAGGCCCCCCAAGATCACCCCGAGCAGAATGGCCTTGGATATGTTCACTGGTGCCTGCGGATGGGTGCAGTTGGAACTGTCGGAGGCATTCCCAGAGAGAAACACCATGGTCCCAGCCGGGGCCGGCGAGGTCCGGCTCTCGGGAGCCACCCCCGGGCGAGGGCGGAGGCGGGAGCGAGGGAGCAGAGTCAAAAGGTCTCGGCTCTGGGGAGCCTTGCCCGCTGGGGTTAGCTGGGGGTGAGAGAGGGCGTGTGGGTGGGAAGCAACCCCGGCCTGCCCTGGAAACCCTCAGAAGGCCACGCAAAAGGGCAGGGCATTAAAGGCGACATGGCCAGGGACGCACACGCGGGGCTACCCGCGGACCCTATCCACCCGCGGCGCTGGCCTTCCGGCCCCAACTCCCTCCCTCCCCCAGGCTTGGCGCGAAGCTCGAGGAGACACGTTGCAAAATGCAATCCCAGAACTACAGGAGCCCGCTTCTCCGTACTGTCCGATCCGTCCTGCTTAGAAGATTGGGCATTCTGCGCGTAACTGGGAATTCAACAATTTAGCGCCAGCCTCCCCGCTACCCACAATCAAGTACCGGTGTGCCGTCGACTCTCAAAGGCGGGGACCGCCGGCATCTGGGCGCTTCTCCCGGCCCGCAGTTACCCACGGTGCGACCGGCGCGCGGTGGACTCGTGCTAGATCCAGCTTCTGCGCGCGCAGGCCGGGGGAAGTGGACGCGAAACGCTGGCCAAGACCGAGGCGGCTACGCGTTCCCCTGAAACAGCGCAAAGAGAAAGGCGGGGTGTATACCGGGCGCCCTGGGGAGCGAGGCCGTACCGGGCCCGGCGGCTGGGAGCCCCGGCGACTCTGCGGTCCCGGAGCGGCGTGCCCTGCTGCAGCACGGGCGGCGCGGAAGGGGACCGCGAGCCGCTGGGAACCTGCCTTGGCGCGCGGCCCCGCGGCCTCTGGCTGGCTCCTGGAGCCGAAGCAAACAAACCCCGAGCCGCGGCCGCCAATTACGCGCGGCCGCACAGCGAGATTAAACCCCGCGAAGCTCGCTTAGGCGGGACTGCGGCTGGTGCGTACGTGTGTCGCGCCGAGCCTGGCCGGTGGAAACTGGAGGATCCACCCGGGTGCCATTTAAACAGGTTGCTTCGCAGTCACCTGGAGGGGGCGGCCTGGGAGAGGGAACCGCTGCGACCCGGGGGCCGCGGCCAGCCAGTGCCACGCGCACGCTCACGCCGGTGGAATTCACACTTGGGTGTGCGGTGCGCGCGGGTCTGTCGACCCGCGAAGCCGGCCCGAGGGCCAGGTCCCAAGAAAAAGCTGGCGGGGCCCGAGGGCTGAACGCGACCGAGGTCGGTCCAGGAGCCCTTTTCCAGCCGCAGGAGCAGCGGTGCCGGAGGACTTGAGCCTCCGGCCACACCCGGACGGGCTGCGGGGGTGCCGGGGGAGAAGTGGTGGAGAGGGCGAGCGCCACTCTGCAGAAGGGGCTTTGCAAGTGGCGGCCACTGCGGATGTGGTAGGCTTAAAAATCAGGAGGATGCGGGACGCTTCGCTTTGCGGGGCTGGGGGCCACGGTATTTTGTGAGATACTTAGGTTTCCACGGGGACTGAGGCAGGAGTGCGAGGAGTGGGGACCCATCTTGCCTTCTGACGATTCTGGGATCGGGCCCTGAGGCCGGACCCCCAGGCAAAGGCTATGGTGACAAGTTCAAGAGCTCACAGGTGGTCCTAAAAGCCAGCAACTGCAGAAAGCCTCTTTCCTCTACCTCGGGGCGACAAACACGGACCAAAAGACACACTTGTTAACTAGGAGGTAACTTTCCAGAATATACAAGGGAAACGGGGTGGGGTGGGGATGCAGGTGTCAGAGCGGGTGAAAGAAGCGGGGGGCGCACGGGCAAAGTGCGGGTTCCGTCTCCGCGGGAAGCGAGGGCGATTTGCCCTCATCCCCGCCCCTCTGGACGCCCGCGCCCCATGCCGCAGCGGACTCACCTGGAGCGGGGAGAGGACGGGGATTCGGTCCCAGGAGCAGCCCCGCCGCCTCCTCTCTGGGGAAAGAGGCGACCGTCCCTCCAAGGAACCAATTCTTAGTCCTTCTGCACCCGCTGACTCACCCCTCCTCTACAGATGTCTTTAAGCTCCCGGCTCACTATCGCTTTACCTGCAGAATTTACAATAAAGAGTGAAAATAGGAAAAGAAAAAAACCCGGCCAACCCATAACTCCACGTTCACCCTTTTAATTTTCAGCTCCCCGACATCAGCAAAGAACGGCAAGGAACTTTGCAGCTAGCTCTCGCTGACGTCACACAGGCAGTAGCCCCAGCGAGTACGGTAATCGGCTGTTTACCGTATTACTCTGCGGCAACAGGCAGAATGCGCACAACCGTATTTTCCCCCCTCCTGCTTGACTTGGGTGGATTGCGTTCTCGCTTTACTTTAAAAAGATGTTTGTGTGTGTGTGGTGTGGTGTGTGTGTGTGTGTGTGTGTGTGTGTGCGTGCGTGCGCGCGCGCGCGCGCGTGTGTGTGAATTTTATTTACAGGAAATAACGTCTTTAAATGATACGATTTTAAAACTAAAGAAAAATTGACACCTGCCTGGTAGGTATTACTGCGGATGTGGTGTGTTCACAGAAATGCCCCCAAAGTTACTTTTGAACAGCTTTATTCAATTAACACTTGGACTCGGTTCTGTTAAAATCAAGAAGAGCATATGTTGTTATGCCAAATACATGGGTAAATTATATTATTTGAAGGTGTTTCAAGATGAGAGTAAAATCAGATAACATTTAATGAATCTGATTGTAATAAAATTATGATTCCTGGAAGATGTAAAGGGAGCATATTTAAACTTTATGAAATATGATCCATTTCTCATTTCTCGGATCTTTCTCTCATCCGTCTCTCATCCATCTCAGATGGATTTTAAAAACATTATAGTCCCGCTGTAGTTTCTTACACAGTTTAGTGTTGGTAAAGTTCCACAAATTCTTTCCCAGCTTTTGTAAGAAAATGTATTTTTTAAAGGAAAGTTACTTCTGTTACTTCTGTCTAATTCTCTTTGATTCATTAATAGTTGGCGTATGAAAAGCTGACATCACCAGTTTTATTGATTTTTTTCTTCTGGTAAATTCCATGTTCTGTTTACCTTACAATTGAATAAACCCGTATGTGTTTTTGGGATATTGGGAAAACACTCGAATTTTCTCCACTTTGATTCCCACCTCCTACATCATCCTCCTTCGTCTTTATTGATTAGAAAACATATGCTGTTCTTAATGTATTTGCCAGGTACCCTTGAACCTAGTAACAAAGAGATAACTTTGACCAGGGGTAGGCGTTAGAACTCTCTTCCCTGAACAGAAGTCTGTTAATATTGTTTCTTTTTCGAAAGGAGATGTTTGGGAGGCTCTTTTATAGTTATATACCTCTAATGCCTTGGAGGAATGTCCATGGAAAGATCAAGAAGCACTACTTCATTAGGAAATATTATCTCATCCTCAGATACGTCTATCGTGTATGTTCTTTAGCAATGCCATCCACCAGAGAGATATTTTATTGTTGAGTTTCATATTCATTAACCTTATACCATAAAGGCGAGTTCTCTATTAAGATCTGTTCTGTGGTAGATAAGGGAAGTAGTGTTATCAGCAAGAAAAGCAACCAAAAATTGCTCAGCTCTGCAAGGTTAGAATGTACAAAGGTCTTTGGAACTCCCAGTCCTCTAGCCCCCAACAAACAAGCAGAGCACCCTTCCTTTCCCCCACCAGCTGACTAGCTGGAGCCAAGGCTGAGAAGAGCTGCTCTTTATTTCTAGCTTGGCCCCAGGTGGATCTTTCCAATCTGCTTCTCGGCCAGTGAACATCAGTTTTTGAGACACTGACTCTCAGAACCAATTATTTCCTCACTAACCATAGACCCACAAACAGGAAACTATCTATTGATGGGTTACGCTTTTAAAAATGGTTGAGGTGGATGTCCCGGAAGGTGTTCGGTTAGACCCATGGGGAGGTGGGGCGAAGAAAGAGTAGGCTGTAGAGTCCTAAAGATGCTGTCCCTGCATTCCTGTAAGACCAGGGGCAAAACCCAGCTTTTCTGAGCCTCGGCTTCCTAATTTTTAAAGGGACACACACACCACACACACAAAAACCCCAAGACTGTTATTAGGACAGAGTGAAATTATATCTCATGAAGCTTATCCATCCTCCTGTTATTAATCTTATTAACTAAAAACTCTGCTCATTTTGTGCCCTACGTTAAAGTGAAACACACTTCTAACCCAGAGTGGTCCCAATCCCACATTTAACAAGAGCACTATGTATTCAGCTGGAGAAATCTGTGAAATGACCTGAAAATTACGCCCAAGCCCACTGCTGTAAGCGGAGTGACCCAACATGGCAAAGCAAAAGAATGGCCCCGTTCACTGGCTGCTCCTCCTTTCTTCTGACTTTCCCTTGTCCCACATCTTGAAGGACCATGAAAATATGTGCAAACACTTCCATCCATACATCCAGACAGCTCTACCTTGGCCTTTGGCAGTGGCCTATTATGTGGTCTGCCCTTGAGAAGATGGGCCCAGGAAAAAGGCCTAAGGCCCTAAAAGTGGTTGTGTAGCCATTTGGAGCAGAGGATTCTGGGTCCCAGAGCATGACCTAGAAAGAAGGGTGGAGGCTCTACTCAGGGATATTACCTCAATCCTGTAGTCTTATGGATTCTGGGATCTCTAAAGCCCAAAACCCAAGTTAGGAATCCTCTTGCCTGGACCTAAGAATGCTACTCTCTAGACTTTGGGTGTGATGGAAGCTGAGAAATTCATTGCAGGAGAGGTTCCAGGAAGCCTCTTGGGAGGATATTGCTTGATTTAGGGCTTGCAGAATAAGTAGAATTTAGATTGGTAGGCAAAAGTGAGAAAGGCAGATCAACAACAGGTGTAAAACAGAGGGGGGATGTGTGTCTATACATGTGTGCATGCGTGTGTGTGTGTGTGTGTGTGTGTTCAGGGACACTGGGATCTAATTGGAGAAGATCTTGCAATCACCGTACACCCAATGACTTCGATTGGCAGGATTCTGTTAGTGACTAGTGAGACAGTCAGCAAATATAGGAAGCTTCAAG